ATGTGTTTTTTTAAACCGTTGTTAGATCATAAGTACACTTTATCATAACCCCCTTAGTGATCAAAGCAAAACCACATTGCAAAGCAACCCCATAAAAATTATAGATTATTAATATATAATTTCTATATTTGTATATTAAAAAATTATAGAAATTATATATTAATAATCTATATGTTAAGACAAATCAAACAAGATCACACATGACTGTATTTAGGCTTACACATTGAGAGAATTTGATGAGTCAAAGTGCTTAAATGAATAGTTCCAAAAGTCAAAAGTGGACGAATATAGCGGGACGGAGGGAGTACATTCTAATGTATTGGTTGCACATGTTACTATTTTCTAGCTCAATTTTGGTCATGCAGTGACACATTTAAAACATCTCAATGAGTTTTTTGAATTGAAAATATACATTCTGGCTTCCCTCATCTTGGTGGTGACCTTCGTGTAAAACTTTAATCACATTCCACAAACTATCTAGCTTCTCAAGAAAATAGTGGAACTCATGCCCCTCTACCATACAAACTAAAGATAACATGGGCTTGAGCACTTAAAGAAGAATAGATGTGAAAGTGTGAAACATTAAGGGCTAATAAAAGGTTATCAAATGAGGTAAAAGGTTAGCTTTAAAGCAAAAGGACATCAACAACTAAGTTGAATCCCACAAGAGGGGACTTCACTTCGAGTGTTCAACTTCCCAAGTGTCTAAGTTTAAGCTCAGCTGCCCAGGTGTCAAGTTTAAATTTCCAAAGTTTAGATGAGAAGAGATTCATGATTCAACAGTTTGCTCAAAATTTTTAGTTTGAATTCTAATTCAAGTTCCCATTTTTATTATCACGATTTATGTTTAGTGTTTCTGTAACAAGCTTGAAGCACATGATGTTCCAACTTGCAGGGAAAGTAGTGATTATATAAATATTTGTTTCCTACTATTAGAATTAGAGTTTAGGTAAAAGTAGTGCTTTATTACTCCCTCCGTCCAATGCCAAAAGACACAGGCCACTATTTTGATTTCTCGATAACTTTTGTTTCTTTATGTGTTTTCATTGATCATTTGATAAAATAAAATAGTCATGCCATGTCTTGTTTTGTAGAACTTTTGACGTAGTTTTTAATTTTGTAAGTTTTATTTTTGATTTCAAAACTTATTTTTGAATAAAACAATTTTAAAAAGTGAGGGGTTTTACTTTGTTATCCGCGTTGTGCCTTTTGGCATAGGACAGAAGAAGTATTCTATAACCCACAAGTATAAAAGAAAGGAAAAAGAAGTTAATGCACATATTACAAGGTCCAAAACTGGAATAGACAAGCATGAAAACAATGAGAACACTGAATACCTCAAGGTCACTGACATTGTTCTCAGCTTCAGAAGACATGAGTATATCTAAATCCTCACGGTTATTATCGTCAGATTCCTTTGCCATTAGCCTTTCCTTTTCTGCCCGTTGAAAGGCTGGAGGTTCTGACCCCCCATCAAGCCCACCTGAAAGTGTTATAAACTGCAAAAAAACCCAAACTAAATGTATTTCTTAAGGGCATAGGCGTGCTACAAATTTTAAAGAGAGAAGACTCAAGGAGTTACATCGGTATAACAGCTTTCACAAAGGCCATGGGCGAAGGAAGGCATTCCACTTCCTTTGTGTTCACACAGCAATTCACTCATTCCAGATTCTTTTGACACAGGGTATTGTGCAGCAATAAACATCTGCTCTTTTTCAAGCTCCAAAGCCCTTACATTGAACTCTTCAATCTGGTTAAACAATTTCAAGCCCTTACAAATCAATCAATCAGCTCAAAAGACACTTATTATGCACACAAGACCTAAGGTAAATAATTTGAAAATAAACAAGTAGTTGTGAAACTTTCAACTGTAAACCTTAATCACTAATGCAATCTTACCCGACATAAATAGACTTAGGTGCACAGGCAATATAAGAAATAGGGCACTGATAGGTATATCAGTTAAGGCGCAATTATCTAGTGAGTTAAAATCACATGTCTATACCATCCAAAAAGCTCACATGAAATCTAAACCCTCTTTCACCACCTACAAACTGTGGCAGCCCAACAGCTCCTTATAAAGCAAGCTCAGGTGGAGAGAAAAAACATAACAACGACAAAGGATTTCACTAGAGTCGGTCATAACAATCCAATTTAACACCTCATTTAGAAAATTGAGTGGGCATCATACAAAGAATGACAAAATTAAGGTACAACATATATATTCTTTCAAAAGTGTAGGTTCACCTATAAGTTTACAGAAATAAAAAGAAACAGGTTACAGACTTACGCTCATGCCCATTTAAAGAATATTTGTTTTACAGAGTCAATTTTGCAACGGGGTGACTATATCATCTATTCAATTCATTGATGTCTTTGAGATGTTTTCCATGGAAGTAGAAAAAATTATATATGATGTTCACATTTATGGAATTCCATCGCATCATTCCTTCAGAAGGTTGCAAAAGAAAGGGAAATGAGCAACTAGTGTAAACAAATTATACACCCATGATCACTATGACTATTATGCAACCAAACCAAACACAGATGGGATTAAAGTGAGGATAAGATGGTTATGAAGAAAAAGAGACAAGTTCAAAGTAAACTTTAATTAAGATAAATGGTTACAGAGATAATATCTCTCAAATAAATATCTGAGACTCCATATATATGTGGAGATTTAATCAATCATTTATAGACTGACTCGTAAATGTGAACGGTTCACATTGGACCACGACGGTGTTGCAAATGAAAGACATCTAGTTTAAAACATGATGGCTTGATACATCACACCTTCACCAGTTCCTTGTATGACCACTTCAACAAGAGGGATGAGGGAGATCATATGTTTCAAAACCGAGGTGAGTTCGGAAGAGATCAAAAGGAGAGCTATTTTATGACCAGTTTGCCGACTCCTTTGCTTAAAAGGAACATGATTATCTTAGGACATGAAACCATGGGTCTCCTATTCTCTTTCTTTGTTATGTTTCCACAACCAAGACTTTCAGATCTTGATATCAATTTTAAGTGTTATAAAAACAATATTAGTAACCACGACACTTTTTATGAAAGGATCTCTAAACGTCCGTAAATACTCCCTGTTTTGGTAAATATTGTAAAGTAACAAAAACATACATGTGTGACCTTCAACAGATAACTGTTTAAAAATAACTACTGTATTTGAATAATGAGCAAATGATGCCATGATGGAGCCATGGAACCAACAAACTCTCTTAAACGAGAGACATTGCAAGAAAAACAAGCACATTAAATTGGGAAAAAAAAATCATTGCAAGAACAAAAATAAAATAATGAAATATTGCATTTTTTTCATAATTGCATACCGTTAAGCTCCCAGAATCAGTGTTCTCAAACTCAATTAAACGCTTTGTCAGTGTTGCTTCACAAATATGTACAACCCTGATCTGTTAACAAACATTAGAAAACCAATCATTGTTCATAATCAAACCATACATGATGCAATAAAGATAACACATTAACTGTAGGCTAACAACTTCTCTTTGTTTCTTACCCCTACTCGAAAGTAGAGGTACGCGGACCTTACCCCTACTCGAAAGTAAAGAGATCATTTCACAAGAACTATGTTTTCCATATATGAACATTAATCAGAGTGTCATCTAAACTTCTAGAGAGATTTTTAGGAAAATTATTAAAGATTTTGATTATTTTGTCATTCCTTTACGTTTTTTAAATGTGTGATTTGATCAACCTAGACTGGCTATACAGATTAAAGGAATGGAGACAGTATTATTTTAAGGAACATGAGAAGGGTGGAGGCTCACAACTTATAAACTATTGAACTAATGGTTGCTTTGAAAATGAGTAGAACTGTTTAAAATATGTCATGTGTTTGAAATTAGTCGGCACCTAGGAGTCTAATCGCCGGTTTGCGGCCAAGTGCCTAGTATTAGTGCTTTGGCCGCTTATTAGAAAGCTGAAAGAAAAGCAATATTCTGTAGTAAAGTCTTCCTTACAATGTCTAACTTAGAGAACTTCAGCCCATATGAAAGAGCAGCTATATAAAGTGCAGCTCCACATAACCCACTTGGTTTTCTCCCTGTCTACAAGCAATTTTGATGTCATAACAAAGTTGACTTCATTTCAGCAGAATTGTATACAAGTACAGATATCAACATGCACATCGAAGATACCTAACCTGCATCCAATCTCGCTTCATACTAGCAACAATGTGAAGTGCAGTACGGGAAAGATTTGGATTCGTCTCACTCTTACCACATAAACCTACATAGATGTGGAGAAGTGCAGGCAAGTTATAATCTTATTGAAAAATCAAATGCATAGAATATTAGACCAAACTATGGATTCATGTTTATCCAGTAGCCAGACAAAAATGGGTAGAAAGTGTAGTATTGATTCAGCATCAAATATAAAATGAATGTGGCTAAAAATATATAGTGCTAGGCACGATTCAAAATATACTACTACAGACAAATAAAATGGAAAAATGAAAAATGCACCATTTGAGATGATTGTCCATTTTGGAGCTAGTATATGTTCTAGTTGTGGGGGTGTTGTGTTTAAGCATGTGTTTTCTATGAACTCCTAACATTCCCTATCTTATTGCATGTCTCATGATGTATTAGGTGGAACAATTTACAATTTTATATTATGATTTTATATTCCTCAAGCTTCTTGAATAACCTGGGAGATGTGATGGCTTGCTAAGTGCCACGAGCTAGACCTATTTTTTCCTACACAACAAAAATAATACTCCCTCTCTCCCAAAATAAACAACACACCTTTTTTTGGTCTGTCCTAAAATAAAAGTTTGTTACTCTCTTTCAGACCAATTCCGACCCCACACACTTCATTTTTCAATATTTTTCTTAAAATTCATGTTTGGTCAAAGTGGTTTTAAAATTGGGATTTTTAATTTGGGACAGATGGAGTACTTATTATCAAAATGGAAACACAAACAATGTAAGAGAACTTGTATAGACAAATCACAACTTTTGCATTGTGTCTATTAATCAATGAATTCATTACAATCCATATAAAAATGAGAAAATTAATTATGGCTAAGAATTTGTCACTTCTGTGTTTCTCAAAATAAATATAGGGCATATTTTGGAGAGGCACTCGACTCCCTCGCCTGAGGTGCCTGAGGAGATAAGGTGGCAAGTTTCTGCTTAAATTAACCCAGGCAAGGCGAGATCCTAAGGCGACTCCTGGGCGTGTGTCTCTAAAGCCTTACTCCTTTGCCTGCCAACTTACATAACTTACATGCTAGGCCGATTTTTTATAATAAAAAAACTTGGGTTCACAATGCTAACTCTATCGACTTGAAAAGGCAACTTCCGGTCTACCTTGATTAATTATTTCATATAGTGCTTATTTTGTATAGTGCACTAATTAGTTTATTTAAAATTTTCTCATAACAGATTTTGTTCTTTGTTAATCGGTTTAAGTGTTTTTATCTTAATTAGTTTTTTTAAAAGACATTTATATTCTTTATTTCTCTGTTTATTTTCTTTGGTCATTTTCAAAGTCACAACTGAGTTGTGGGATCCAACTAGGTTGTTATCCCACTTGGGTATTTATAGAGAGAGACAACATCCATCCGTCTGTCCGTCCGTCCATACATATTGCCTTTTGATCGGCTGATCGCCCACCTCTCTCCTTCAAAATCTACCACTTGATTCTTGCCTTCCAAAACTATGGGATAGAGATTCCATTGAATTCATATATTCCTCTTCACCAATAAGATCAAAGACTTTGCATTTTAAAAATGCATAAGACTACTTATCCTGGATAAGTAACTGAACATTCTTATATTCTGGGAAAACTACTATGGTTACTAACTTATTTATTGAATAAATAAACTGAATTATAAAGTGTTAATTGAGAAACTAGTTCATAAAGAGATGGCTATGACTATGCTCAATGAGGTCAAACCCCCTAAATATATTTGGGCAGGAAAGTTCCGATGCACATTCTTATCTTTGTGAAATAACAAAAGAATCTCCTTTAATGTGCAGTGAAGTAGCACTACAACAAAAAGTTATTGCAGCATGCAGTCTAGAGTCACATGCTATAAGAAGAAATATAGTACGGAGTAATAAACAATCGCAAAATGAGTACAAAATCACATGAACAGTAAAATAATAGGGATCGTTACATACGGTTCACAAACCGATGAATAAATAGGCTAGGGTCTACAGGCTTTTGAACAATTGGGTGCTCTTCAAGGCTTAGAAGTTTGCAGAGCTGTAAGAAGACAGCGCCTAATACGTACCTGGAACTCAATGGAATTTTAACAAGAATAAATTTCAAAGGTTCATGTATGAATATTAAACAAGTACTCAGATATTATAGTAAACCAAACAAAACAAACACAACAAACCGGAAATATCTGACTCAAAGGTAGGGTCTAGGGAGCTAGATGGAAGTATGCCTTACCCCTACTGCAAGGTGCAGAGAGGTTGTTTGCAAGAAGACCCCGGCAACCCATTAAAAGTAGGGTGAGTGGTACTAAAAAATTAAGAAAAGAGTCATGTGCATAAACAAATGTTGTCAGATGTCACTTTTGTCATTTGAGTAAATTGTGAAAAGTGAAAACAGTACTGATGGAATAAAGAATAATGACTCTTTAAACTGTCAACGCTTCTTTCAATTGTGAAGTAGCAGTTAGTCAATGCAACTTTCGACACTCACCGTGTTTCATCTGGAAACAGTCACTCTATGTTTTAAACATAGGGGTGAGACTGCGTACATCCGATCCCCCTTACGCCGCATTGGAGAGCCATTGAGGCACTAGGGTAATGTTGTTGTAATATTGATTTGCACAAATATTGTATGCTCACATATAGGACAAAACTGAATCTCCTACTATTGGAAGTCTATAGAGAAGCTGACATACACATTTATCCGTAAGTACTCAGAAAAATCAATGAGAAGATAAGGCTTTTTCATTTCCCTGCAAAAAAAAAAATGATTTACCCAATAAAAGACAAGCTTCACCTGTCACATAAATTAGATAGATACTGCAGTTCCCTGACTTTACACAAAGAAAGAATAATTTTCCTTAATTGCATATAAAAGTCATTCCTCTATATGCTTTGGAGGCAGTGATCTATTGGCTAAACTCTCATTTATGAACCATACAAGTGCATTATTGTTTATGCAACTTAGACCTGGTGAAGTGTCCGTAACACATAGTAAAATTTGATGTTGTATATACATGTATACTATATATTATGTACTTCTAACATACATGTGGGCAGTCTCCATCTGTGTGTGTGTGTGTGTTTTGCAGTGTTTTGGTCATACTTGTTCTGTATCTATTTATAAACTAACTGAATTATGGTATATAATTTGCATATCAGCACATGTATTTATTATGTTGCATAGTTCCATATTCTAATCCTTTTGGTATCAATTTATTCACTCTTTGTTCATTGTGTTAACCAAGCAGGTCATTACAAAAGCTTTAAAAACAATATAGAACTCTGAACCTTCTCTATGTTTAAACTTAATCCTAGCACATGCTTTCCGGAAGAAAAACAGTACATATGTAGAGAATAAATCTTGGCTAATAAATGAATTGACTGAGTATGGTAAGACTTGAGAGTGGCTAAAATAGATGCTAACGGGTACAAGAACAATGATCCCAACAGTGAGGCTTGGGGGTTGTGCTTCAACTAGCTAATCCTGACGGCCAAACAAACACTAGAACCACTCTTATCTAGGCCTAGGCTGGCCTACCCTACAACTTTAGCATTAGTCCTTCAAGTGCTCCTGTATAGGGTCATGTCCTCAAGCGAGGTCCATGAATGAATTTAAGTTAACATGCTTTGGGTACGTGTGAGGGAGTAGGGGTGTAAGCCGATGTTAAACGCATCGAATATGATATTAGTATATTACCATACCTGCTCCGTTTAATTTTATCGGATATTGAATTCAGATCTTCCCGGATGGTTAAAATATCCGCATCCATCAAATACTACGGAGTGTGTGCATGTGTGCTATACATACAGAGGAGAGATAATATTAACAAAAAATTTTTACAACATAACTTACAACATTTATCTTTCAATTAGATTTTTTTTTTTTTTTGCAAAGCCCACCATGGGATTGAAAGTTACTAACTCATAGATTGTCATCCTAGAATTTCACAAATTTCAAAGGTGGTGGGGGGGGTGTTTAAACTAATAAATGCTATGAAAATGTGATATATCAAAACAACGTCTAAAAATGAAGTCAATTATATTGAACTTACATTATAGATAAATATTTTTTCACAATTTGTGGTCAATGTGACCAAAAAAGTCCAATTAGGACGATAATTTTGGGACAGAGGGTGTGTGTGTATAGGAAATCTAATCTTACACCAACTTTTTCTTACAACAGATATACTTTTTGCTCGAATTGTTTTCCTTTGAAACGACCGTAGGATTGAGCATTAGTACCACATAGATCACCCTTGTAAAGTTTCAAAAATCACAACTATCCAAAGGGTTAGTTTGTCGTGAATCATGACATCTAAAATCAAGATAATATAATATTCTAAATATTAGGTTCCTTGATTCATGACGAACCTACCGTTAGATTGTTGTGAAACTTTACATGCGTGATCTATGTGGTACTAACTTTTAATTTCCAATCCTATAATCTCTTTTCAACATAATTTAATATTCTAAATATTAAGTTCCTTGATTTATGACGAACCTACCATTAGATTGTTGTGAAATTTTACAAGGGTGATCTATGTGGCACTGACTTTTAATTTCCAATCCTATGATCTATTTTGAGTGAAAACAATCGGAGTAGAAGCCATAACCGGCAAAAAATAAGTGTAAGAAAGTAGAAAATGTTTTGCAGCGACGACAGAGATGCTTATCGCTTGTCCACCATATGCGGCTCTGCTGTTGCACACATCAAATTCCGGAGCAAAGCTTGAGGGTTTAGCCTTTGTAAGAATAGAGCTTCAAATTTCTGGGCCGTAGACAAAATTGCTAAATGATAACTTAAAATCTCTTGCGGGCGAGGAGAGGCCCAATTCTACCAGAGAACAGAATAGAGCTTTGAATAAGCAAAGCTCGAATCGTCGTGTAGGGTTACACTCAATTGTTGTTCTTCAAAAATATTGGGTCAAAATTCCTCCCATTTTCACTTGAGCAGTCTTTGTCAAAGCAAAAAAGTGAGGGCAAATTAGTCTTTTCCTTCTCTTATTCCATTCACCTTGGTCTACGAGCCAAAATCGAAGAGGACGAAAACACTGGGACAGAGGGAGTATATAACCAAATGATTACTCAAAGGGATGACCTTGTGGATGGATGCTAAACAGATCGAATAAGATTTTTAAACGCGCATCTGTTTACCAATCAGATGTCTTTAAACAAATACAGATAGTAACAGTTTTAAAGAAATGAATAGTTTTCATATAAATGGATACAGAGGTGAACGGCAATTAAATTTTTGGTTACCCATATACACCCATAAGAAAGCGACATGATGTTATTGTGAGGGGCAAAAGGCTTGTGGCAAGGAATTTCAGGATGTAAACAAAAACATGATGATTAGCACATATTGACCCATGGTCTAGTTAGCGGTACAGCAATCTTCCTCACGGGGATTTGACTCGGTGTAGAACTGGATTTATAATCCTTGTGGGTACGGGCTAGTTTATTATTAATCGACCGTGGGTTTCCTCGAGGAATAAATCCGGTGAGCTCCATCTACTATATTCTTAAGAGTCAAGGCATGTTAATAAAGAAAAATTGTGCAACGCAGATATGAAGTTATGGAAAGGGGAATACTGATTTTTACATCTGTGAATATGTGAATGTTTTTGTGATTTTTTATAGTTGTGTTGTGTACCAGTCTCGAATTTGCTAAGCGTGTACATTGTTTGTATACAAGTGAGAGGGTTGATGTTCCAGCGAGAACTCACAACTATGAATCAATGGGATGGTCTTCGCATTTATTGCATAACTGCAGTTTTTACCTTTGCTATATTGGAGAAGTTTATTGTAATGCGATTTTTTGTCTTAGCTTCCACAAAGCATTTGGCCTATTTGGATGACCATTGATTTTGAGTCAGATTTTAAATATGTTGTATGCTTGGAACATGACTCGGTTCCTGATTTTAAGTTTTGACTGCAAAACTACTCCATGTGCCCCATAAAGGACTTCTCACTTTGACTTCAGAGAGACTAAGAAAAGTGTCGAAAAGATATTGAAAAAAAGTTGAATTGTGAAAATAAGTGGTTATTACTTGTTTATAAAAGAAATATTTTGGACCACAAGTTCTTTTCTAAAAAGGGAAAGAAACTAGAGAAAGTGAGTATATTGGAACAGATGAAAAAGGAAAGTGGGAAATCCTTTGTGGGACGGAGGGAGAACCTATGAATTACAATCAAGAGTTTTCAAGTCATTACTACCATGATAATCAATATCTCCCCTCCCCTTGTCATCTTCCCCGCCTCTTAATCACTCCTCCCGTGTCCTCACATCACACACCACTCATTGTCGCATACTCCTCCCACTTTCATGTCCCCCATGCTCCCTAATGCCATCACACCATTGTCCCTGACCCCATCCCACCCACCTGGCCACCCCATCCCATCATATGACAAGTTTCTTACATCTAATAAAATAGTTGTACACATTGTTGAATGCAAATCATCAATATCCCAACAACATCAAACCACAATACTTTTGAATCATAACCATCCATATTACAATACAAGTCACAAATTACAAATCTTGACTATAATCACCAACTTAGTGAGTATTTTGTAATTATTGTCCAAACAGGCCCTTAAAAACTATATTGAGCAATGACAATGTGTTCAATTTTGATAATTTGATGAGTTCTTGAATTTGATAAACAAATTCAAAATTTGGGTTTTCAAAAAACAATTGTTGTTTTGAAGTGCATCAAGGATGAATATGGTGAGGCATTAGTTGATGATGTGTGTAACGCAGATGACAAGCATATTCCATAAGCGCTTCACTAAAGGGAGCCGAAGATCATGCTGCAGGAGTTAGAGTTTTCTATGGGGATGTTCAATAGCATTTACAGCAACAACAACAACAACCCAGGTGAATCCCACAACAGTAGGGTCTGGGGAGGGTGTGTGTACGCAGACCTTGCCCCTACTCGGAAGTAGGGAGGCTGTTTCCAAGAGACCCCCGGCTCCACCTGCATAAAAATATGGAAGGGAACACAGTATAACACAGATAAAGCACCAAGTACAAGCAACAAGTACAAGTAACAAGTACAAACAATAGCAGAAGATTCCAAACAAATACAGCACAGTACAAAACTACCTCTACAACACCGAGCTCCTATCCAGCTACTCTAATCCTAGTTTTCCAAAGGTTCCTATCTAGGGCCATATCCTCAGACAGGTCGAGAAGTCCTAAATCCTGCCTAATCACCTCCTTCCAATTCTTCCTAGGCCTACCCCTTCCCCTACTTCCCCCAATAACTGTAATCCTCTCGCATCTCCGTACAGGGGCGTCAGCATACCGCCGTCTCACATGGCCAAACCATCTCAACCTCGCTTCCCGCAACTTATCTTCCACCGGTGCCATGCCTACCTGACGTCGGATAACTTCGTTCGAAATCCTATCCAACCTTGTCTTCCCACACATCCATCGTAACATCCGCATCTCCGCCGCATGCAGACGACGCACATGAGTCTTCTTAACCGCCCAACACTCTGCCCCATATAACATAGCAGGTCTGACTACGGATCGATAGAACTTACCTTTCATTCTAGGCGAAATCTTCGGATCACACAACACTCCTGAAGCTAATCGCCATTTGGCCCAAGCCACTCCAACGCGATGCCCAACATCTGCATCTAACTCCCCATCAGCCTGTATTACCGAGCCAAGATATCGAAACTTGTCTACCTTAGGTACTAGGTGAGAGTCAATCCTGACTTCCACCTCTGACTCTGTAAGAGGTGAACGTATTCGAGTGTAATTTTAAAATAAGCAGTATTAAACTGAACTAAATAAAAAGGTACTAAACTGACTCAACTGAGTAGTACTAAAAAATAAGGGGTCACCTAGACTCGAAGGTAATTCACGTAGAGAAGACAAAGGTGGCAGATATGAGAATGCTCTGTTGGATTCATTAAACTCAAGATAAAGCATCTTTAAATAACTTCATGCAGTTACTCACCTACAAGTAATGTAAAGACACGCTGCCTGAACTTGCTCCTTTCTGCGTCCCTGGGTGAATTTTCGATCAAGTGCTATCTACGCATCGAGGATAATTTCAAAGATTAAACCATCCAACAATTCATAACAATAGAATTCGCATGAATTATGCAGTATCATGGATCATACCGTATAAAAGTTTAAAGCATGATTGGCTACAGAATCACCACCATCTATTCCAAGTGCATACACCATGCCTTCTATACCTTCATAAGCTGCAAAACTCACGAGTGGGGAAAGGAAGATAAGGAGGAAAGGCATCAGTTCACAAACGAACTCTAGTACAATTATGCACTAACTTTTACAATTTAAAAGTGTTTTAAGAACAATAGACATCAAAACTTAGGATGTTACAAAAGACACTACGTAAATTACTACTAACAATTAGAACTATGATTATACATCACCTATTAAAGATGTGTCTTCTATTTCCCCAATGTTTCTTGGTGACATGACTATACTTTGGCCTCAATAATATTTCCATATGTGAGGATTCTATATTGAAGCACATCAATGAAATTAAAATCAAAGGTTAAAGTATAACCATTGGTGAATTCATTGGGTGAGATATTTCGATGGAAGCAAGTTCTTTAGAATCACATTGTGTTACACCCTACAAATAGAACACAACACAATATCATCCAACCATATGTGGATTATACTAGCCTTTGTATGTGCAATGGATCTTTCAGATAACAATATGTGGATTATACATTGTTGTATTTACTACCCAAAACCTTGGTAGTCGAGATCGTGATTTAGCCTTTAGATAGTAGAATTGTACAACTCTACGTGATAGGGAGTTGTGATTCTAAGTTTCCTGAGATCGTACAAATCGCTCCATAGACGCGTAGAAGCTCTATGGTCGCTGATTTTTTTCTTATCCATCAAAATCTTCCCTGGCAGTAAAAAACATGTCAGAGACAGTGAGTGTCACCCCTCTTGCACTCCTAAGGTTAATTCGTCCTTCCTCTCAAACTCTCCCTTTTATGTCTTCTTTAATTATATATAGCCCAGGTATGCTTTCCTACCTGGCCGGATTAGTTATACAATCATACTGTACATCCCCATATTTGTCCTTTTAAGAATGCATGATATAGTGTGTGTGTGTGTGTGTGTGTGCATCTGTGAGTGTGAAATTGTGTGTGTGTACTAGGTATTTATTATTGTACGCGCGTAGGATCTTACTGTACGTGCTACGATCTTATGATTAACAATCATCAATTCTTTACCCGACCTTACGTATAATCTCGACTTTGACTTCTGTACGTGCTACAATCTTATGATTAACAATCATCAATTCTTTACCCGACCTTACGTATAATCTCAACTTTGACTTCCTCACCCAAAACTTCATCAAAAGTTTCATGGGACGTTTAATGTGATGTCCTCATTTGGGCAATTATTTACTAATTTACCCCAAGCTAGGGGTAGGATATGTAAGGAGGGTAGAGGTTGACCGAAGAAGAGTTGGGGCAAAGTGATTAAAATACTTGCAACTTAAGGGGCTCACCTAGACCCTAAAATTATAGCAGCTTTTGGTGATCGACGATTACATTTGTAAGGTAGGACTATATAAGGGGTGGTTCTCGTTGTGGGAATGGCTTTAAGTTCTAGTTAGACATAGTCCTGGTTTACCTTTACCAACTTTGGTTTATCATTTTGTCTTTTGGTTTCCCTTCATATGTGGATTATACTAGCCTTTGTCTTGTCCTTTTTGTTCTCTTGGTGTTTGAGTAGTGGATCTTTCAGAAATCGCCTCTCTACCTTTTCTAGGTAGGGTAAGGTCCGCGTACATCCCTCACCACACCCCACACCTCACTGCCCATTCGTGGGACTTTACACAGATGGTTGTTGTTGTTGTTGTATTTACCAAAAGCTAAAACATTGTCAATACTCAATAATGTCTCTTTTCACTCCATTGGCTATGAAAACCTACAAACATAAAACATACCCCACTATTGTGCGTACTGCCTCCCATTGTGATATATAGTGAAAAAAGAAAAATATCAAATATACATTTGAAAAAGCATGGTGCCCAAACATAGTCACCTAAATCGCGGTACGTTCCGGTACAGGTATGCGGTTTGTGTACGAAATTCGCTAGAGGTGACAAATTCGGTACGAAGGGAGGTAGGCTCATTTTGGTACGAAGCTGTATGGTGTACCACGTATTCGGTTTGGTGTACCAAATGTCAAAACATAAGTAAAAAATTTTGGAATATCAATATATATATAACTAAAAAAAAGGTTAGTAGAAAAAATATGGCAAAAAAGAAAGTAGAAGCCAGTTGAGCCCAATAAGAATTTGAGCCCAAAAGAGAAAATAGAAGCTATTGTGCTTTTTATTAAAAGCAGTAGCGTAGAAGTAGACAGTTGCTTCCGTCAAAACCTAAGGGTTGAGTAGTTTCTTTTTCGGAAATCATTTCCGTTGATCGCGATCCCAGCCGCAGATCCAGACGATCTCTATTCCCAATCTATCTCGCGATCTCAATCGCAAACTCGGGCGATTCCAGGCGATAGTACAGATCTGGAAGTACAGTTGCAGGAAGACCCCCACCAGTAAAACCCAACCGTCTTAACCGTACAGATCCGGATCGCGGTTTTAGTACGCTGTACCGCTGACGTTCGGATCGCAATCGAATTGCGATTGGGTAAGCCGCGTACCAATACAGAAGACGCGGCTGTAGCAGCGAATTCTGTGACAATGTGCCCAAAGAGAAACACTCTAAACATGTAATCTAGTCTAGTCATGTAGTAATCACAATGAGAATGTACATGTTTTAAAAAGTACAAAATTTGCTCATCATCTTAGCAAAAGTGCAAACTGCAAAACAAGTAAGGCAGGATTTGATACCATCCTTCAATGTTCTATCCCGTGAAGCTGAGAAATGACTTTGCACAGATCTCACAAAACTTCCTGCCAATGAACACTAAAATTAATTGCACGTTAGTTCTCTAATAGAACGCATATTTACCTTTTCATGTGTGCCTGCAAGTGATGCAGCTAGCAATCCATTCATCTAAAACAATCAACCGATTGGTGTACCTAACCATCTACTATGAGGAATGTTTCTTTAGTCACATTGTGTTTTGTTCAAGGGTTCAACAATCCATTTCTTAGCAAGATTGTTTTTAAGCTAAAATACTTCAGGTTTCAAGATGTTGTATCACACACACACATAAACACTAAGGCTCCGTTCCATTCAACTTATTTTTTCTGATCTGATCTGATTCTAATAAGTTCTGATCTGATCTGGTCTGGTCTGATCTGATCTGATTGGATCTGATCTGATCTGATCTGATTGGATCTGATCTGATCTGGTCTGATCTGATCTGGTCTGATCTGATTAATTATGATTTAATTTAAAATTTCAAATCAATAATTTAATTTGACTTTATAATAACCTTTGAAAATTGTAATGATAATTCATATTATAATATAATCAATATTTTTTATTTAATGATTATTTTTTAATAAAATAAAAATAGTTAATTCATATATTAGAATAATCATTCATATTATAATGTAATAATATTTTTTATTTTATGATAATTTTTTTGTAAAATTAGAATTATACATTAGAATAAATATTTAATTTAGATATACATTAAAAAGTAATTAAATTTAGATAATCAATATATAGAAGAGATAGTATTTTTATTAAAATATCTCATCCTTATAAAAGATCAAAAGTTTAGAAACTCAAACTACAAGTAGCAATAAAAATATATTTTAAAAGTAGAATTAGATTGATATTGTCAATGTATTTTAAAACTGATTTTTCCGACGTCTAATAATTAAGGATTACTTTCTCAGTTTTCTATTTAACCTATTTCTAAAGTTTATTCTTTTTCATTTTTAAGAACAATAATAATAATAAAAATAATAATAATAAAAATAATAATGATGATGATGATGATGATGATCATAATAATAATAATAATAATAATAATAATTCTTGATGAGATCTGATTTTAATAAGTCCTGATCTGATTGGATCTGATCTGATCTAATAGGATCTGATCTGATCTGATCTGATTCGATCTGATCTGATCTGATTCGATCTGATTTGATTTGATCTGATCTGATTCGATCTGATCTGATCTGGTCTGATCTGATCTGATTTTAATAAGAATAAGAAAAAATAAGAAAAAATAAGTTGAACGGAACGGGGCCTAAGAAGCTACAGTCAGACACCCATGTACGCACACAATACCAATATTCCATTCTTAAACCACACATGTTTGCCTATAAATGACTACTTAAATTTGTGTCCTTATTCTTTTATTTGGATGTCTTTCAAAATTGGAAGTTCAATACATGAAATGATATTTAAAAAAAAACTAGAAATGTCATTGCCTAGTGTGGATGGAGCTGCAAAGTCATGCTGGTCAACCAGTGTAAGCAGCCACACAGAGCTCAATATGTCAAAAGTAGAGATACAATCATACAATCCAAGGATAATACATGAATGTGTATAGCAGTTCTTATACACTGCAGGTAAGCAGGTGTTCTAAAAAATGGGTGGGCCTTAACTCTGGGTAGAGATGAAATGAGATACATTTACGTGCATAGGCCTCATTTATTGAGTCTTTTGTCAAATTGTTTAAAGTGTAAATAGAGATCAAGAACAGAAAGGATCACGTGTCTTATTTCTGTTTGGGTCTTAGGTCAAATTGTTTATACATATTGTAGTCAAGGTTAACATGCACAGCAAAGCATAAAATAGAAATCATGAATGTTTACAAGAAAGTTTCCCCAGCGATGGAGATTTTTAATGAAGTAACTGAACAGATTCTGCTAAATAAAATGCACCCAATTGGTACATGAAATCATATACACTAAAGGGGAGTGAAACCTGTCCGGTGGCATCTTTAACAAACGTAGGACCTGACACTAAATTGTCTTCACTAAGGACTTTCCCACACAATGTACAACATCTGTTATAAGATTAATAAAAAATATAAGCACGTGAATAGACAACCAAATACTGGAGAAGGAAAAACTACTTTCAGAGATAGAGAGCTAAGAATCTCACGATCTGCCGTCGGACTGGTCAGCATGGACATATTGTCCACAATTGTCACAAAATACCATGACCACTGATACAAGAACACCAACCTGAATCAAATCCAATCAACTCCCTGAAACAATTTAAATTAAACCAGGAAATCAGGGCTTGCTTCGTGATCAAAACATTGCTGGAATATCTGAAACAAAAGTGTTTAGGGAAAACTAAAATAAATTCATCGTCTAAGTATATGTTGTCTGCTCTTTGGTGACTAGTTATTCAACCAAATTCTAACAAAGCCCGGTGGAGCTTCCGGAGGGCGCGGTTTCTATTTTGTGGATTATGTTTGCTAAAGTTATAGCCGGAAGATGGAGAAAAGGTAGAAAATGGAAGCGTACCCGGTGGCTGGCCAGCGACGAGGAGCGCCGGAGCGAAGAGCCGCCGGCACGAAGCCTATCTATAGACGGAAGACAAGCGCAGCAGAAGGTTGGTGAAATGCAAGTGTGTAGGGGAGGAAGGGTTTTGTGATTATGCAGAGAGGCGGTTGCAATGCGAGAAATTTGATGCACAATTTTGCTCAATCCCTCAAATTCTGCCTCGCATTTTTAAATTTTAATCTATGCAGAGTTAGATGGATTTTAATGTATTTTGTTAGCAGGATTTTATAAGATTGTGATAGATTGTTTATTATGAATGTATTATGAATGGATTATCAAGGTCTTCTATGTGCGCATCTCTGCCTTCTCCGACACCTAATGTTCTTGCATCGGTAGTACTACCCAACCCGATTGAGTTTTTTCCAACAGCTACACCGTTGCCAATTGCAATTTCCAAGTCCTCACAATCCCGAAATATTCCATAATGTAATTCGGTGCTATCCTTTGGATGAGCCTATAAAAAAGTTATACAGAGTAGATTTCAAAATCATGAAGGATATACGGAATACATAAATTATATTCTTTCAAAATCATGACTCCAATCAAATCAACCCCATAAAAAAAAAACTGCATTTTGCAGCAAAAAGAAAGACGAAATCAAACATATCATCTTCTCCTTCGTCATCTCATTTTTTTTCCAACAAAAATTCAAATTCTCTATGAGTTCGTAGAGTGACTAAGAACCACACATTTTTTTCTTCTCATTGTTTAGCTGCAGAAGGATAATAGGGTAAGCGAAAAGTAGAAGCGTTCACTTGGGTCGGAAATTAGGGTTTAAAATTCATAAAGAAATTCGGTAAAAACTTCAAAATCATGTTAGATTTTACCTTGATTTGAACAAATTATTGATAAACAAAGAGAAAAACAAGTTGTTAAATAATAAAGAAGACCTTACCTTGAAGATGGAGTGAAGGATTGACAAAGAGATAAGCTGGAGAAGACGAACGAGTTCCTGCGCGGAGGAAGAGACTAGGAGTCGGCAAAAATCTTAGGCAATTCGAAATTAGATTTGTATTTCTGACCATCAAAATCCACATTTTTTTTAAATCTTTAAAAATCTATCAAATTTTGAATACCATCATATTTAGAAAGATTTTTTAAAGTTTGAATTGAATATGCTCATATTTTAAATGACTTTTTATATTCTGAATTGAATGCCCACGAATTTTCAGAATCTAAAAAAATCAATCAAAATCCGAATTGAATACACACCCTATAATTTAGAATTTATAAAAAAAAAATTAATCTATTTAACTTTTTTAAAATTTTCAAAAATTTATTCCATCGTATTAATATTCAATGCAAATTAAAAGTAATTGATGATTAAAGTTTATCCAGTTTAACTCGAAAAAATCAAATTTGACAAATATTCTATGAAACAAGAAATAATAAGAGAAACACCTCTAAGTTATCCTCCACAAAGATCGATCTCCAAGATGACTTGATCATATCTTCATCTTCAGCTTTTTCAAATTTAATTGTGTCACTAAAGAGTTTAAAATTTAATGTTCTCGTGCGGTACTTAATGTAATAAATTTTAAATATATAATTATTGATTTAAATACACCGTGCAATAAGTATTTTAAATAGATAAAGGATTATACTAGGATGCCCCAAAATTGGTGCCTCTATATAGACGTCTCGTGCCTTGTACAAACACGCGCAGACGATAATTGTGCGTGTAAGACAATAAACACGCACATCCACTTGGGGGCACCCTAACTTTATTCATATATCAAAAAGTAGACATTATATTGACATAGAATGGGCCGTTCAATTGGTGAATGAGGTTGAAACTGTGACCGAACCGGTCCAGGCACTGGTCAAACCAGTTGTTTAAACATATATTAGATATATATACACACCTAGATATATATATATATATATATATATAATTATTTTGTATAAAATAAAAATAAATCCTTTCATATGTACATTTACATATCGAGAAGTACATTAAAGATTTTATAAAATAGTGATATTTTTATTTTTCTTTAAATAATTTGTCTAATATTTTAAAATATTAAAATGAATTTTTTTCACGACGCATACTCCGTATTTGAATTATTTCTTTTTTTAAATGTTAAGAATCCTAGTTTAAGATATAAAGAAATTTTTTAATACATTTTTACTCTTTTAATTACAAAATATATACTACTTGGAATCAAAATGCTACTACAAACACTCTTGCTCAGTTTGGTTATAGCTCGGTACTATAACCAAGAGGTTAAAGGTTCAAACCGTAGTGATGATATTTTGGCTAAATTTTACAAAAAAAAATGGTTCGACAGGGTGAACCGGCCAGTTCGAACTGATTCAGCGTGCATTACGTTCCAAAGGGCCGAACCGGGCCGGTTTGACCTCATGTTCACCGATTCCGATCTGAATCAATCGGTCCGGTCTAGTTTTCAAAACTATGGTTGAAACAAAATTAATTACTCACTTCGTCTTGGATTATCTTCCTTCTTCACAATTTTAAAACTATGGGAATTTTTTTATTTGTGTAAATACTTTTATCACTGTTTGATTTGTAGAACTTTTGACACATTTTTTAAATATTTAATTTTTTAATTATATATCAATTTTTAAATAAAATAAGTGAAGTGAAGATTATTATGAGGGAGTAGTGTTTTTTATTGAGTGTTTCTAAGGTGGGTCTTTGTGGACCTTCTCACAAAACAATGTTTTTTATTTAAAGTGTTTTTACATTCTACATCCATTCTCCCTTACTTTTAAAATACAGTCTACACCCATCACTTTCTAATTTTAAACTTGTTCCTTGTTGTTATCTACATAGTGAATTGAAAAAGAGAAGTGCGCTAGGGTTTTACAACCATTTTTAATCATTTTTTTTAAAATTTGATTTATTTTTTTAAGTTATGGGGTATTAGTTATAAATTGCATTTGGGTGAGACTTGGGATGTTTCAAGAAATTTGCTGCATTTGTGAAAAATTTAGAGATGAGCAAAAAGACCGGCAGTTCGGATTTGTCCCTTAAAAAGATCGGTACTTTTAAGGACGGGATTGGTCCTTCTTTATAATCAATTTGAACTAGTCCAATCTTCAATTCATAAAACAATATGGATTTTTTAGTTAGAGTAGAGTATAAAAAACCATATTTAGAGTATAAAAAACCATATTTAGAATAAGAGTAAATGTTCAAAATGACATTTTAATAAAGTATTTTTCCAATTATGTTTTTAATAAATAATAATTATCTACATGATTCTTTAAAATTGATACTTTCTCTCAATACTCAATAGTCCTCTATCATATGGCTATTTTAAAACTTCTTTTCAACTTACTCTTATTACATATTCTTATTGAATTTAGATCATACTAGATGAGACCAAATCAAAAATAACGTTAAATATGACTTAGATAAAATCAAAATATATTAGATAGGACTTTAATAAAATCAGATGACCTAATCAGATTAGACCATAGTTATGAAGGGCGAGTTGTGAGTGGTAGACGAGAGAACCTTTTTGTGGCGAGTGACAGGCACTAAAAGTTGTGAGTGGTGGACGAGAGAAGCAAAAACACTAAGGGGCTGTTTGGCAATTTCTGAATGAGTAAGTGTTGAACCAGTAAGAGGTCTGAATCATTAAATGCTGAACCAGTAAGAGGTCTGAACCATTAAGAGCTAGTATATTGCTTAACTATTCAGAGGCAAATGTCTGATCAATTCAGATAAGAGGTCTTAACCATTCAGAGGCAAATCTCTTAACCATTCAAACATCTGAACCATTAAGAGGCTGAAACAAACAGTCTGAACCATTAAGTGCTGAACCATTCAGACATCTGAACCATTAAGAGGCTGAAACAAACAGCCCCTAGTTGCTAGAACAAATTTTTTTCCCATATCTATTATACATAATAGTGTCACAAATTGAAAAATATAATGCACAAATTGAAAATAATACACAAATCGAAAATTGAAGAATAATATACAATGAATAATACAAAAATTGAAAATATAATACAGAAATTTAAAATAAAAGTATAAAACACAAACAAAAACTATATAAGAATAATATGTGACTTGCTTGACTATCGACACCACTTGGAGGAAATCGAGTGGAGAAATAGCCGATGGAAACTGCGACCTGCTGCAATAGAAGACTGGGAGCAAATTCGCAGCTGAATCGAGTGGAAGAGGTGATTGGGTCATGACATTGCCATGAACAACCCAATCCAGGCGTCATATGATCATACCCTCACCACAGCGCCATAGGTGATCAAGGCGCTCGCCTTTCATAACTATGGATTAGACGAAGAGAACATACATTCATAGAATAATAAAAGTACACATTAATATCCTTTGCTAAAACACGCAACTCTTCTAAAAACACTTGTCAAAGTTCAATTAACCTGACCCAAAAGATCACAATTCAAACAAACTTCAGTGAGACCAAGCTAGGAGATATTATTGTGGAAAAACATGCAATTTTCAATTAACTTTTTGTTCAAGACCGCAATGAGTACGAAGACAGACGTGTAAAATAGAGAGCCCAAACATTGTGCCACACTAGGCGTACTTTGTTGTTGTGCTTTGCCAATCAAAGATCGAACTTTGAGTTTTTATGAAAGCAAAAGATGGGGTGCATTTGAGAAGAGCATTGCGAGAATGCGAAAAAAATATGTTCAAGAGTAGTGAATAGGGGAACATTTACTTCCAAGTTCCAAATGAACATTTATAATAACATACAGCTATGAAACTATAGAGAACTTTCTTTGTATTCTAATATGGAGTAGTACTTCTTAATCAAGAGAACTCTGGGGAACACTACAATAAGAAGATTTTGACATCACAAGTGAAGAAGATAATACATACAAGAAACCACAGAGGAAAAATGCATATTACAGTACATGATATATAGGCATATATATATAGCAATAGGTAGCCGAGGTCCATTTACATGCAGAGTGAGTGAGAGACAAACAGAGAGAGAAAAGGAGAGTACCTTAACATGGAAACAGAAACCGTTCGTTTCCTTTTACAATTGAGGTTCACAAATGGCTAGGGCGCCTTCTACCAGCATCCGTTCTCATCCTTTTCACAGGATTTGCCCACCCAACAGAGCTGCTTCCACTACCACCGGTCAGCTGGGGTGATTGGTGGCTAGTCCATCCTTGATGTTGTTGGGCTCCTTGCTGGTTCAACCAGGAAGACTCTTTCATCATTGAGACAAAGCCCGGATTTTTTATGTTTCGGTTCATGCCAGCTGGCAGGGGCGGCGACACAGGGCCACCTGGCATGTTCACGGTCTTCATCACTGACTTCTCCCTGTCTTTTCTCTTCTTTTTGCAAATAACAAGCTCCCCGGGATGTGTCAATGGACGTGGGTTCTCCTGTGGCCTTGGTTCTTTCTGAGAGGTGTGACTTCTAGGCTTGGCATCTTCAATGTCATGGAGAAGGGACCCACGTGTCTGGGGTCTGTGAGGGGTGGGGCTAGGATCATGAGGTTCAGGAAAGGCATCATTATTGGGCCTGCCACGCTTGTTTTGACCAACCATGTGTCTGGTTGATGGGCCAGAGGCAGGCAAAGCCGATGGCCCACCAGAAAAGGAGAAACAATTCCTGGCTTCTCGAAAATCTGTCTCAGGAAATGCCATCTTCAAAATGTCAAAGAAAAGATCGTTTACCTTCTTTGCTTCAGATCTCACCTGTATATCCACCATAACAGAACTGTGATCACTCTTTCATTTAATGAACAAAAATATCAACAACCCTTGATGCATTGGTGCATTTACTACCCAAAAACTTCATTGAGAGTAAGAAAGCAAAAGAAGTTTAATATGTCAATTTGACTTGGTCCATTATTTACCTGAAGCTAAAACATTGTCAATTACGGCCATTTTAGCTCCATTGGCAATGAACAAATTATCAAATGCAGGGAAAAAAAACTTGCAGTAAACAATGAGGAACAAGTAGCCATACCGAATGTGAGAATCCATAATATTGTACAGCGCTTTTTAGCATGATTTGCATGTCAGAAACAAACTCTAGCACTCCGCTATACTCCGACTCTTCAACACGCACACCAATGGTTTGTAAATCCAGAAAGTTCTCATCAGCTGTGTCAATGTCACCAGAATTTTCAATTCTTCTCCACAACTCAGTTAGCTGGGGAATTATCTGTTGACCTTCCTTGTTTATTCTCCTTTGCAGAGAATTGACAACATTCTTGCACTGAAAATCATCACAGAATAGATCGTCACGTGGGAGGCAAGTAATAGTGTAAACAAGAGATCCCTCACTCATAATTATGTTCTCACTTTACTATAAAATCAGATGTAAAGAGAGGTGTGTGCAAGAGAAGAGGAAAGCAAGAAATAATTAAAATAGGCCACACACAATGCAGGCAACCTTCATCAGTTTCTAATAACTGATAGCACACGCTTTAGAAAGTGTACTCAAATTCTCAAAAAAGAAAAATACAACAAAAAATTTATAATTAATTACTTAATTAATAAGTTATCCCCTGTCTCCCAAAAAAACATTAGGCTTTCCTTTATTTTTGTCCCAAAATAAACCCTTATTAAGAAAGAGATATGTGGCTCACAAAAATTTCTTTCTTCTAAATAAATTTCAACCAAACATCTTTCAATTTTCAAAACTTTTCTAAAACTCTGTGAAATCAAAGCGTCAAGTTGTTTTGACAGAGTATTAAATAAATAAATAAATAAATAAGATAAGAGTCAAAAAAATCCTTCACAGCAAGCAAATACATAAAACTGAAGATGCATTATCTAGACATTAAACCTTAATATCTTGATTGTCTTTATACAAAAACAACAAACTCAGAAAAAACCCAGCACCATTAGGGTGTGGGAGGCCAAGATGCACACAATCTTATCTTTAAAGAAGGCTGATTCCGTTAGAAGTTAGAACCTTGATACATTGCTGCATTTACTGGCCCAAAACTTCATCAAAAGTAAGAAGCACGAAGGAAATTTTGTGCCAATTTGATTTAGCCAAATACTTACCCGAAGCTAAAACAGTTTAGAAATAACTCTTTTAGCTTCATTGGATAAACCATTGTCACAAATTTCAGTATACAGAGCGAAGATATATTAATATATAATAAGCTGAAATATGATGTAATAAAACATAATACGTATTAAAATCCCAACGGACAAATAAGTCACAACACGTGTAGATAGTTTTTACCTTTATCTGGATGCCCTTGGACATCTTTGTGCCCCCACAAGAAGACCCGCTAGCAATCATGGCTTTGCTGTCCCAATTTTGCCTGATCTGCTCGCCAGGTTCTTCTGGAATGAGTAAAGCATTTGATCTTGTGGGCTTCCCTAAACCATGTACTTTAACTAAATTTGAATTTTTCCTAGAAGGTAAACTTCGTCTACCCTTATACAATGGATCAGAATGATCATCTTGTATGGGACTCAGAACACCAAGTTTTTTTGGTCCTCGTCCATTTCTATTTTGTAGGTCATATTTACGTTCCACTTGAAGTGGCAATTGGGAAGACTTTCCACTGAGGACTGGTGCCCTTTCACCAGACTTCTCATCCTGCCTCTCGGCAACAGGCTTTGGCCGAAACCGAATACTACGCTTCCGTTTGATTTTGGGCTGCAAGACTTGTTCTTCTTCACCTTCATCACGGCCTTGAATCCAGCTTCCAGACAACTGGAGATCTATATGGGAGTCTCCAGATATTGCAATTTCCCCTTCCTCTAAATCATCTGTCTGGCATAGAAAAAGATGAAGTCATCTAGCATTAACCAACAATTTTTGTAGTTTGATGCATAAAATCAGAAAATGAGTAAAAGAAGACACATACCATCCTTTTTGCTCGAGAAGTGGGCCTTGCATCTAATGCGGAAAGTGACCCAAACTTCTGCGATGACACAGATGGGGAGACCTTTTGCCTCAATCTTTGGCTCTCGGCAGATGAACCTGATGATCCAGCTTGTTCGGGTGTGTGACTGTTTCTATTGTTGCCAGGAACTTGCTGGTACTCGTATCCATCAGCCGAAACTTGATCATCTTCTTCCGAATGGTGTTTGTTTACCGGAGGCCTCCCAATTGTGCCATTTAAGTCATCATCATCTCCCATTTCTCCTTCAGGTACCAAATATTCATTTTGCTCCTCAGAGCTAGCTTCAGAAAAATCATCATTCTCATCCATCTCTGTGTATACAGGAAACTTTTTCCCTCTTGGACGTCCCCTTTTCCTTTCAGACTCTGAGGCCATCTCAGTGGACTCCACACCGATTCCCCCACTTAAGAAGATGTCCTTTGAGGGCTTCTTTGCTAAATTAAAAATAGCTGAATTCACTTCTTTACTGCTAGCACGAAGCCACTTCGGTACCTGATCATAACTAATCATTTCTTCTTCCCAATCAAATTCTTCATCCATTTGATCAAACAGTTCTACTTCTTCTTCACTTCTAGCAATCATACGATTTACCTCCTGAAGAGAAGGAACATCATGAACAGTTTCTTGATATCTCTCCTCGTCGTGTAAAAGTGTTTCCAGAGTTAACCGTCTCTCTTCATGAGTAGTTCTTTGATCAAATCGACCAGCATTGATCACTTCATCAGCCATGTCAATTTTGTACTGTTGGATATTATTCCGAATAAGACTCTCAATGGATCCCATATACCGATCAGTACCTGCAAGATCATCATCAGAATCAACTGTTCCTCCACTCCGGAATTCGTCCTCTTTGTGATGGCTTGCCATTTTGTCAACCACAGCCTCCATATAAAGGACCTTCACTTCTCTAGTCTGACCTATACGGTGGGCTCTAGCAACTGCCTGTTCCTCATTTTTTGGGTTTGGGTCAGGATCATATATGATGACTGTGTCTGCAGTTTGTAGATTCAAACCACGACCAGCAGCACGGATGCTGAGCAAGAAGATAAAGCAATCAGAATCTGGTCTATTAAAATCCACAATAGCTGATTCACGGTCATCTAGGCTAGTCGTCCCATCAATTCGTCTGTACACAAGACGCCTCCACTGCAAGTATTCCTCCAAAAGATCAAGCAGTTTTGTCATTGTACTAAAGAGCAGTACCCTATGTCCTGTTCGTTGGAGTTTGATCAGGACCCTATCCAGAATCCAGAATTTACCACAAGATTTTATGAGAAAATCCTTCGGGACATTCAGATACGGATAACTGAGTAAAGGATGATTGCAAACTTTACGGAGCTCCATACAACGATTGTTTAAAATTTTATAGGTTTTGGGTTGGTAAATAGTGCTTTTTTGAGCCCTAAGGTTCTCATCTTCAGGGTCAACTCTAATACTGCCAGTGGACTTAATCCAGTCATAAACAGCACTCTGGAATGCCGACATCCTGCACTTCAAGACAACAGATATCTGCAAGAACAATGATTATCACTTATTACACACTTCACAGAATAATTATTTGGAATCCTGCAAACCATGCAGGCAGGCATACCTTGGGAGGAAGTGAACCTTCTACATCTTCTACACGGCGCCTAAGCATGAATGGCTCAAGAATTTGATGTAGTCTATGGATAATGATGACCTTCTTCTCAGTTTCAAGCCAGTCATCCTCAGCATTATGTGTGGGACCTTCTCTTTGAAAAGGTTTAGAAAACCAATCGTGAAATGCTTTGCGATTATCAAAGACTTCTGGTAACAATAAGTTCAACAAAGACCAGAGTTCTTTAAGATCGTTCTGCATGAAAAGAAACCAATAAATGTATGTTTCCAATTATAGCCGTAAGGAAATATGCAAGCATGAGCATGAATACGGGGTGTCATCATTTGTGATAGTGTATGGAATTCTATACAATTTTAAACATTCTCAAATCTCAATCTAGAACTTACTATATCCCAGAATTTTAGGTGTACTCAATTTGCAATTGTATTGATTCCATATAATTCCAGTGTCCTCAACTCACTAAATTCCTTACAGATTCCTTTGGTTTTCATTAACACTATGTTTGGTTCAAGGAATTTGGAAGGAAAAGAAAAGAATATGAGTTTCTCCCATTTTCCTCACCAAAATGGGAGGAATTTGGTTTTCTTTCCTCTTAGTACGTTTTACTTTCTCATTTTCTTTTCCTTCCACTTTTCCTTTCTTTTCATCTCTAGCCAAACAAGAAAAACTTGTTTTACACTTCATTTTCTTTTCTTTTCCCTTTCAAATTCCTTGAACCAAACATAGTGTGAAAGATTCAATTAAATGATGAAATTCTATGCACTTATGGCTAAAAGAATACACGATTCTAGCAAAAATGCAGTATCCAACACTCAGACTCTAATGGGTTTCTATTTCTAAAACTCAACTAATATATAAACATTTATAATTACAAATAATGCAAACCTAGTTTTTGTCCTATTCTACTTTTGATACAATTATTCACAAGCAGAAATTATCTCACCATACAAAGTGATATAGGATTCCAAATATTTGGAAGTCTCCAACATGGACGAGATGACGAGAAAAGGGGTTGCGACAGTTTGGTCACGTGAAGAGGAGAGGCCCAGAACACGTCAGCCAAGAGATGTGAAAGTTTAACAATTGCAAGAGTCAATGGGGGATGAGACCCAAAATGGCTAAACTCAAGATGATCGAGAACAACACTTTGAATAGGAAACCTTGGCGGTCGAAGATTAGGGTGGACAGGTAGTAGATTGAGTTGTCTCTTTGTTTAGGTTGTGTGCGTGCTCTTATGTAAACTTGGTTATGCTGCCCCATTTAAGTTGCTCGATTTATTCCCTTGAGCAGAGGATCCATCTGAAAGTCTCTCTACCCTTCACATGTAGAGATAAAGTCTGCATAGTGCCTAAACCTTAGTCCCTACCCTCTCCAAGCCCCGCTTGTGGGAATACTCTACTTTCATTGTTACTTTTGGTATATGAAATTTATATATTTCACAAACTTGGTAAATAAATAAATTATACTCCATCCGTCCCAAATTAGTAGTCCAAATTTGGTTCAGCACAAAATTTAAGAAAAGTGAAATTATGTAGTCACAAGTGATGCAGAGGGGAGAGAAAAAATATGAGCCACAAAAACTTTTCCAAGAGTGGACAAGGGGCTGTTTTATTGGGACATCCCAAAAAGGAAATGAGGACCATTAATTTGGCACAGAGGGAGTATATAGGGAGAATATTTGAAATCATTTGGAATTTTAGTACTCCATCCCTGAGTATTTGTCCATTTTTGACTTTTTTTGGTCAAAATTAGTTAACTTTGACCCCATATTAAATAAAAATAATATTAGATATTGATACAAAAATAGTTTTATTAGATTTATTATGTTAGGGGTAAACCGGGGGTCTTATCAAGTTGATAATTTAGTGGCGGATGTGCGGAGGAAAATGGAAGGGAAATAGTGGGCGAAAGTATGGAGGGTGTTTTAGGAGTTCTTTTTTGGTATTTTATGGAAGAAAAAGAATAGGATTAAAAAGGAGAAATGGAGGGATATGAAATGGAAGAAATATCACGGATGGATAAAACCAAGTTGGTGTTAGGAGATATTACACACTCTTATCCTAACTTGAGGTTTGAATCTAGAATTCAATTAAGATATTACACACTTAATCAAATATCTAGAACCTAAAACTCACACTTAAGATAACCACTCTTAAGATATAGAATTAGGAATTTGGCTAAAATAGCATCACACTATTTTAATAATACTCAAAGAGTAAATGGTTTTCAATATTCAAAGATGTGTTACAATGGCCATA